TTTGGCTCAGTTTGTAGTACTTATGTGCCAGCGGTCGCGGGTTCGAGTTCTGCTAGGGGCATTCATTTGTGTGATGAACACGAATGTTTGTGGGTGCTTATGTTTATAACATGTATGTAATTAAAGTTATATATGTGTAGTGTATCAACTATCTGGTATCCATAACACAAACCTCGTAGCTTACCATGGAATTAGATGGTCCTGTTTGTTAATTTCCCAACATATTTATATATCTCTGGTGAGGCATGATTTCAATATAGAAGAACTTTTAATTTTTTTGTCCATTTGCATATTATTCATTAATTTTATTCCTAATTCAGTTCGGTTCACGTTGCTAGACTTAACGTAAATATTTACATTAGACTTTAAACTACTAAACTACTAGATTTTTAATTAGAATGGAATATATATATGTATGAACATAAATAACCCTTCAACACAACTACATTAATATTCTACAACGAATTTCACTGGGAACATATGCTACGTCTATTCGGTTTCTGTGCATATACAATATACTCGTATATATAACAGCTGCTGGATAATGCCTTTTCCTGCTTGGGTCTATTATACGATAATTAAAATTTTTGTTGCAATCTAAATAAATGGCTTATTGCCATATCGCCAGCGAGAATGACTTTTGGCGAACGTTTAATTAATATAATTTAAATATTATTCTTTACTTCTCAGAAAAGGTTTACGAGGGTTAACAAGTAAAAACTAAAAGTTCCTAAAGGGGCACTTTAAATCATTCGCCAGTTCTAATGCCTTGGCACATCGGTTTTTCCACATCAGTCATTACATCAGCACACTGTTGACCCGTTTTAGCATTCGAACGCTCAATGATGCATGGTCATGCTAAGGTTCAGTTTTCATGGTCAGTTACTGCAATAATTTATTATTTAATTATGATTTAATTGTATACCAGTCAATATGAATACATTAAATTTAGATAAAAAGATCATTAAATATTCTATTTATAAAATGCAAAAAAATATATAATTTTTACGTTCTTCCCTCCATGTAAATTTCTAAGAAATTAATTAAAATTCCAAGAAATCTATTGTTAACTGACACCTCGAGGTTGCTGCGGTCCTGGAGGGAATAAAACTATTGACTTGTACAAATATTGACGACAGGACCGAACAAAACACAATCTGAGTCAAATTAAAAGTTACATATATTTTTCAGGAAGTGCAGAAAATTTTTAACGAGACAAATAGAAATATTCGTCACGTGCAATTGAAAAGCACTAACCGCTTGGTTGAGCACCGAGGAGACTCTCTGAAACATCGCGAAAAGGATTTTAAGCACAAAGTTGCATTCCTTTTATTACTTCAGGGGTCGACCTCTGAGCCTGAAAGGGTTCATTGCGTTTCGTAGTTTTGTTTTCATGATGGGACTATCGTGTTTATCTCGTGTTAGTATTACAACTTTTTACCGTTACAATTTGAAAATATGTAAACAAAATAAACATTTTGTTCTCGACGTTCAACACATTTGGTAACTTTTTATTTTGTTATTATTTAGATGGAATAAAGTATCATTTCGTATTGTCAAAAACTATTGAACTAAAAATAAAGCACGCATTTTTTTTTGCATTGTACAAATTTTTTTTACACATTTTCTCAGAATTCTACTGCCATTTATGCTTTATTTAGTTTGGATTACAATTCAAAAAACTGTTTGATTATTCTGAAACTATTAAAAAAAATCTAAAATACACAGTACATGATATAATACAACTCAAAAAATATTTATGATCAGAATTACTTGAAACTTAGCTTTAATTCTTTTCAATACAATTAAATAAATACGTGTTTTGGCATTTCTCGAAATTCATCCTATAAGGGGGTAAAATAGGGGATAAAAGTTTGTATGAAACCTACTTTTTTAGAGATTTTGTAGTTTTCTATAAAGTTCTAGTATTTATATAAAGTTTAAATATTCTTATGATATTGTACCTATACATTTATTTTTAAATATATACACTAAAATAGACCAGCAAATGTGGTGAAATGTGGACTAAAGAGAGTGCACGATTGTACTCGTTAACTATGCAATGTTGACCTTTTATGTACCCTCCCTCGGCCTAAAGTTGTTCCATGAAACATAAGAGCTTTTATCAGAATATTCGGTAACATTTATTAAATTCACTTTAAACAAGTAGAATATACAATTTTTTTTTAAAAACTAAATGCTTTATATAATCAACAATGGTCCATTATTATGAAACCGAAGCTTACGTATACTCGTAAGCCACAAAACGATTGTGATGGTGTCACATCTAAATATATATTAAAATGGGATTTTAATGAGATTTCTTTACGATTATTATTTTAAAAGCTTAACAGCTGCAATATTTTATAGATTTTTTATGGTTTGTAATTATTCTATGCAAAAGCATAATATTGAAATCGAACTCGCTATGAACTTTGGTAAAGCTATACTTAATGAAACCTGAAAAAAATATTACAAGCATAGCTATGCAAAAGTTAGTCAGCCTACTATTAAAAATGCGGAAAATTGTATATGTGTGTATGTTTGTTACTTCTTTACGCTGAAACGGCTAGATGGGTTTGGATAAAATTTAGTATACAGATAGAATAACAAAAATTAATATTTGACATTTTTAAATAAAACTATATTTTCGGATATATTTAGATTTTTGGTTTCCGACGTTTCGAATGCTTTACAGGCTTGAATTTACAGCAATCATGGTCACGGAAAAGTCTATGGTTTTAGACGTCTCAAAAGTCATTAAATTTACAAAATGATTTCAAAAAATTAAAAAAAAATCGAGAACCAAAAATCAAAACAAATCCGAAAAGATAGTTTTATTTAAAATATTTACTATTTATTAGCTATAACAAAGGTGTCAACAACTAATATCTTTATTAATAAAAGTTGACTAAGTAGAAAAATTGTTTAAAATGGCGTGTACACAGTCTACACCACGCTTAAAATTTAGTCGGTAGGTACTAGGTACATATAACCGAAGAAAAATACTCAGCATCACCTATTTTTATTCTCATAATTTACACTATTATTCATATTAATACCCTTCATACATTGATAACGTGTATTAATTACTTTTCACCACGGATATTTATGAGTACGCCGAGGGTGCTCCATGAAATATTACGATACTTACTCACAAGGTGGATATCCTTTCAGCAAAAGTTTACCGAGTTTTTATAATAGCATTGCATGTAAAATAGCATGTAATGGCTGGTCAAAGCAATAATAATATAAAACATATACTAACATAGAGATATGTTATATATATACCTACATTAGATATTATCTTTAAAAAGTTTCTATTAAAATATTAAGAAATGACCTAGAAGATTGTCGATTGTTACTGTTTCATCTACCGTGAGTATAGTAATATTAAATCCATATCTTTCGCTTTTATATCGATAGCGTAGAAAAATATTACATTATCGTTCCCTAAGCGCATGTAAAAACCTATTTCTACGACCAAACAAATCATGTGTGTGGAATACACGTATATTCGTCACGGAATTGTAATATGTTCTATTATTATCTAAATCATAGGTATCTTGTGAAAGCTTGGTAAGCTTTTATGTATAAAGACATAAAAGTAATATAGTGCCTAAAATTAGCCATAAAAAGTATGTATCATAAATCATATCAAACAAATCCGGCATTTCAACATAAAGATGTTACAAACAAATAAACAAACAATAAATAAATAAACAAACAAAGAAACAAAGAAACAAACAAACAAACAAACAAACAAACAAACATACATACATACATACATACATACATACATACATACATACATACATACATACATACATACATACATACATACATACATACATACATATATTCACACACATACTAACTTACACATTTTTAATATAAATAATACTTTTTGTGCTGAAGCACGCATTACGTTCAGATAATTAAAACTGGTAGTTACGATAAGTTATATTATATATATTTTTTTATTTGAAATGAAGCCGTTTGATCATACAGTTAAGCCATGTCGTAAAATGTAAATAAAAAAAATATTTTATTAAAGACCAGTGGAAGCCTTTTTTCTGTAAGAAATTAAAACTTTTTAAAGATTTGTTAAAACATAATTATGTTTATTTTAGTACTGTGTAAAATTGACTAGGCAAGCTTAAAGACTGAGTTATGTTTTTTAAATAAAATATTAATGTTATATGGTGCTATTTTAGTAATTAACCGAATCAATGTGAGACTTTCAAATAAACTTGATGAAATACGATTACGTTTGATTAAATATATACGAGCAAAATGTGCTCTACTTAGACAAAATTTTATTGGGATATTATATTAGACGAACAATATTCAGCGGCGAATGTTTTTGCTAAATTGCTTAATAAGCTCATTATTGTACCGAGTTTTAATAGCACAAAATATTTTAAAAAAATAATTAATAGTATGAAACCGAAAACATAAATTACTCAAATTTTATCTACATAATACATTATAGATATATTTCAAAAATTCACGAGTCAAGATATAATACGTAGGTACACGTATGTATGTAAATAACATACATATTTTTAAGGAGTTATAAGTTGTTGAAATTTTCATCGACTATCTATCCTTCATGCCATTCAGACTAGAATGATTTTTCAAAATTATGTATCTATATTTTCATATTGTGAATAAACACCCTGTTATCGAACTGTGAGAATTCCCAATTCATGGTCTAACTTTCATACATTAAAAGTTTAACCCGTCAACGCAACTCACAATACCTACGAAAACATTTTTGAATATTACTTAGTAGATTAGATAAAGAATTCTTATATTTATGTCTTACTGTTATTCAATGAAACGATACCCAATAAAATTGTAAGTATAAAGCTTTAAGTTTTAATTTTTTTTACTAAAATATCAACAATTATAATAAGATATTATTAAAAGAAGGGTTACAGATGGAAGTTATTTTTTTATGTTCATTAGGTTGAAGATGGCATATTTTTGTGTTATACTTCCGGGGTCCTCTCTGGATATCTACCAGGAATGCAATCAGGGTTGTTTGGATTGTATTCCCATATTAAGTACTCAGGCTCATTGAGGTATAATGGTGGAATTTCATCGCTTGGCTCCATTTCAACGCCAATAAGCTTTTTATTTCTTTCTAATAACTCGTTAACTTTAGTTTGCGTTTCCTCGGAAATATCTGAAAATGTCATTGAATAAGTGTATTAAGGAGTAAATTATTTTAAATAGATTGAAAAAAATTATATTAATTTTTTTTTACTCGAATGTTCCAGTCAGTTTTTACAATTTAACAACATCGAGTGAGGTTTTTTGGTTTATATATTTGTGTGTGACTTTATAATTAGCATGATCTGTAGCTTGAACAACGTTTTCAATTGCGCAATAAGGCCAAGGCTTAAAAACGAGTAAATTTAGAATATCGGAAAAAAATATACCAAGATATTTTTTAATAACATAGATTATAACTAAAAGATGTCAATAGAATCGTTCTAACTCTGTGATATTAACAAAAAGGAGAGGGGGAAAATAAAATTAAATATATTGTCACCTAATACAATAGCCTGTTCCAAAATATAAATACAATGAAATTTTTATGACACTACTAGCGATTCACCCTCGCTTCGGTCAGGTTCGTCACTAGGTACGTTTTAATGGTTAGTATAGATTTCTGAGAGTGGAGATATTTTCCTAAAGTAAAAAGTATCCTATATTTTGATCCGGATAACCAGCTATTATCATACCAAATTTCATCAAAATCTATATAGTGGTTTTCTCGTGATACGTCGACAGACAGACAGACTAGACGGACGGACGGACTGACGGACAGTCAAATAACTATTTCAATAAGATTTTCTAAGAAATATTTAATATACAGATTCGATTCAGTTAGAATTTTATCATATGTAAAGATTTTCATATAAACAATAAATAACACTTAATATTTTTATGTAGTAAGATTTTTTATTTTTTCTATAAATATTAGCAATTGGTTTGTTCGTAGTCCTTATATTATTTAATATTTTTTCACAAAAAATAAATAAAAACAATACATACGGGTACGACGTAAATCGACTCTCAGCACCTTTTTATTTTGTTCTAAGGCGCGAATAAGAGTTTTCTCCGCTTCGCCAGATAAGTTATTGGCAGCCATGTCTAATCTTGTAAGGCCACGGTTGAGACACAGTAAACCTGCCATCTGAAAAGGAAAATTATTTCTTATTGAGATTTGTTAATATGATGGATTGGTCTAAAAAAATCCTTATTTTTATATATGTACCAATTCACATGTCGAACATAATATGTCTTTAATTATAATAAATTATAAGAAATAATATTAATCAGAAAATCTTCAATGATTCGATCCACAAGGACAGTCCGATATTTAAACAACAATTAAACAAGAATAATTCCTTTAACTCTATTAACTCGAAGAAGGTACAGTTACGAGCAAAAATATATGATCATGAGTGCCGATGTTACATCCTGTATTTTTGCATCGCGTGTGTAGTCAGATAGTTTTATTATTCCTTCGATGTCATATATTTTTCTGTTATCGTAAGAATAGATATTAATGAATGAATCATGCAATATAGATATTGTTACCGAACTGTCCATGGTCATATATCTATGCTGGTGACTGTAACATTTTTGTAAAAAATAAATATTTATTCTCTAATTCAATATTATAATATATTCTTGTATTTGTATGCATTATGTTTCTCTGGAAGGCTAAACCAACAAGTTCCAGAATGGCTTCCGATTTCAAATATTTATAAGGTATGAATATTTTATATTGTTAGTTTTCTTTCAAAAAATATTATAGTGCTCACTGTTTGGAAAGAAAATCTATAAATATAATAAAATTGTAACTAATCCGAATGTTGAATGTACATTAGATAGTTTTTGGAAAATCTTATTGAAATAAACATTATTATCGATACAGAGGCCGTTACCGCATCACAGAAAAACCACTGGAGGGATTATGATGAAATTTGGTATGGTGATAGCTAGTTATCCGGGTCAACATATAGGATACTTTTTACCGGGGGAAAATATGTAATTTATGAGAAAAAATACAAAAGCTGCAATTTGAGAGTATACTAATATGTAAAACCTAAAAATTTGGTTTAGGTCATCTGAACGCGGGCGGATTTGCGGGCAATGCGAGTAAATTAATTTTATCTTAACCTTTTCTGCAGAAACTCCGTGAAATCCACAAGAGTTTACAATCAATGTTTGAGGCTTTTCCTTGCAGCGAACAAATGCAGCAGCAAAAATAGTAGCACATTCATTTGACATAGGATTTAAACTGAAATCTTTACAAAAAAAATAGTTTTAAAAGCATGACGCAAAATTTGGTACTTGAGAATATTACTAGAATATAGAATATATCTTTATAGACATAATTCTTTGTAGTTACATAAGCCTGTTAAAGCCTCTGACTCCCAAACTAGAATAAACCTGTATGTCAGGAGTCACGGCCCTCTTTCATCTTTAATCATAATTGGAGGTCAATAATATTACAGAGCATGTTTAACAGTAATAATTTTAGAATTTGTTTGTGAAAGAAGAAAATGAAAAATAAAAAAGTAAAATAAAAATTAACTTTAACAAAAATGTACTAAGTGAATAGATTCGTAATAAAATTTTAAGTTATACCTATTAATTCGATAGGTGCGGCTGGTTTCATTTGTAAGGCATAAGCTATGCCTTGTACCCCCACCTCCTTGAATCTATTGTTAGCGATTTTCACTCTTTTAACATTTTTGTGAATCGAGATAAACCCTCCCAAAGCTTTCATCCCATAATCCCCAATTTTACAATGATTAAAATCTAACTCCTCAATAGATTCTTTTTTTACAAGATTTTGTAGAATCAGCTTAACTTTTGAACAATCTAAATTACTTCTATTGATTCTAAATGTTTTTAGATGTTGTAAATACTCTAGACCTCTACATAAAGATTCACAGTCTGCTAATGAAAATTCAAAATATCTTGTCATGTAGCTATCTTGAAGCTCACTTATTCCAAAAATTAGAGATATTTCTTGTAAATTAAATAGTTTTGCAAGTACTGGTTCTAAAGGTATATGATCAAAGACTTTCGGGACGCTAAACTGACAATTATCTTCTACGGCATTTTCACATGGAACTGGAGGAGTCGGTTGTCGAACCATTTGCAGTTGCCTCAGACCTAGCTCAAAAATATAGGGACTTACCTAAAATTAGAAGAAAGAAATTAATACTTAGTTTAACGCATGTTTTTTTTTTTTTTGTTTTATTACAATTCTCCTCTGACACTGGTCAGAGACTTTGTTATTTCTAAGTTTCTTATACTATAGTACATATTTTTGTCGACATTTTTGGTATACATTTAGTTTATTACATAATTTTTGTATGCTTAATTATATGCTATTTTAATATTCTTAGAATTATTACATTTTATTTTTATAGGTAAGTACTATGAACAATTTTTATATTATACTATTTATTTATTATGACTATTATGTTTATGGCTATTGTTGTTATTATTATTTATACATGTTTCAGGTTTTATGACACTGTGGTCTCATACTCTTCTGTTCTACATTTGCAACATGAGGACGCTAGAAAAGTCTAGCGATTATGATGCGGGATTCAAAAAGGTAAAAGGCACATTTTTTTTTTATATTGTGCTGTGCCTTTTGTTTACAATTTTTGTTATGTATGTGCAGAAGGCTATGAATATCTTGTGGTGTTCTTTGTGCATGAGTAAAAGGTGTAAGTTTTCTATTTTTGTAGCAATACTTGTCTGGTTTTCCAGGTCACAGTTCACAGGTCACGGTTCAACGCCTGTTATATATGTGCATACATAAAATAAAACTGCTACGCACTAATTTGGCCAATTCCACTGCATCATCCTCTATAAATACATCAGGGTTAACATTTTCTAAGTAATCTTGTAAGCATGCGGATAAAAATTTTCCCTTCCAATACGTAACCCCCATTTCTTTACGTGATGGAAATTTTGAATAAAAAGATCTTTTCCAATATTGCTCGTCCTATAATCAGCAAATTCAAATTAATAAAATGAATTAAATATCTGTATTTATTTTAATAGCACTGACCTTTATGTAAGGAACACTGAATTTTAGAGGAATATCGGCAGGATATAGATCCATCAGCATATTAATATCTTTTTGTAAGATTTTTTGAAGAGGATTGATTTTGTGGAATACTCTAGATAGTGATAGTGCGGCAAAATATGTAAGAGGCGCTGGAGTTAAGTTATCATCCCATTCAAAGTCTTCTGCTACTATTTTACGAGGAGCTTCGCCAGTAGAAGCTACCATGATAGGTGCTGTTCTGTATGCCTCCCGGGTATTTGGTGATACTACATAGGGAATCTTCATATTTGTATTTTTATTTAATCTCCTCTTTTTAAAGCAAAATGAATTATCAAAATAATATTTTTAAATCTAAACGGCTAAGCGTTCTTATAAAACTGACATAAATGGTTTTTTGTATATTTTTGAAGAAAAATATCATACCTGTCAAAGTTTTGCATAATAAACCTTTGTTAAAGCCGCATAGACACAATCAAGTCGATAATATAGTCAAAGTGAAATGTGGACGTTAATCAAAGTGGACTGCGACCGTGTTCTACGTTACAGTAGTTTTGATGACTGCTTTGAACTATTGTAAATAAGCAATCAAAACGCACTTTGATTTCGGCGTTCAATCAAAGTGGACTTTATCAAAAAGATTTTTGTTTCAAAGCTTTTTGTCAAAGCTACTTTGTCAGACTTTGAGCGTGTCAACACGGCTTTATCCACACTAATATTAGAGATGTAAAAGAGTGTGCTTATTTGTTTCTTTGTTAGTTTGTTCGTTCGTTCATTTGTTTGTTTACTTACTTGCTTGTTTGTTCGTTTGTCCTTCTTTCATGTCGAAACAGAGTGTCGGATTGGTTGAAGGGCTGGAGAGTGCTTAGTTATCTATTCCATACTAACCGTTGATAAAACGTACGTACGAAACCGAGCGAACCGGGTGTGAGTCGGTAGTATAATATAAAATTATAAGTATTGTAATATGAAAACGCTATATATACAAAACCATAAATACACCTCCCATAGCCTGAATAATAAACTTGACTTGGTACAACCTTTTTTAAATAATATGTATACTTTGTGTCGTCCGATTTTATTTTCTGTATAGAACGACAAATTTGTAATTCAAACTAGAACCGATCTGAAGTCGAATCAAATCAGTGGTATGTAGCGCCTATAACAAATGCGTAAGCGTCTTTATGTCGCTAGCTTCGTGTTTTTCCGTACAACTTCGGGTGAGATCGGATCAAAACAATGTTCACTCACTTTACCGGCCAGGCGGCCAGTGACTGTTTGGGCCGAATGGAATAGCGATCATAATATTTTTATTTATCAGCGGGCGTGCATCGGCGCTTGTCTGCCACTAACCTAAAAATATTAAAGTTTTCTTTAGTATTTTAAATTAAGAGCTCCATTTGACGTTTTTAAATAAGTTATAATGGATTCTAGTAACAAGGCTGTGGTAAAAAACCAAACCGCATTACAGATTGCAAACTACAATCCCTGGAATTTGTTATTTAGTCCGAGACGCCGAACTGAAAGTGAAAACAGTGGGACTTCAACTACAAGTAACTATCAAACAAGTAAGTTTACTTTTTATATAATTACTTCATCATTGCTTTTTATGTTTATTTGAAATATAAGTATGAATTATTTTTATCGTTACTATCATATAAGATGGAAGCAAAAAGTTACAAACAAGCTTAGTTCTAGTTGATTATTGTTGAATAATTTTACTAAAATGACTCGAATATTCGTTTTAATATAGTATATTTAGAGGCTAATTATTGAACGATTAATTTAATTGGAATAAAAAATGAGCTTCTAACAGTAACTCAGAAAAGTAATATTATATTTAAATAGCTTTTGTCTATGTAGAGTCATTACAGTACAATCGAAAATGTTATTTAATTGTCTAAACGGGCAAACTTAATTATTCTTAATTGTATTTTTTTCTACAAATGATATGTAATCATAACACTATACATTAAGACATTCAATAATATGCATTATAATAAAGCAAAAGATTACACACAGCGTATTATTATAAGTTCTTTATTTAGAAATAAATTTGTTCCATCTAAAAATAGCAACAGCATCTCCCCGTATGGAATATAACATGATCTAAATATGTTTCTTAGAGAGCTGCCATTATAAATGTGGAGCCAAATGTTGAGAATGCGAATTTATATTAGCTTATATATTTCAGTCTATTGCTGTTCGATATCTATACTATAATAAAACAGTAGAGGTCGAATGTCTGTACATAGCAAAAAAATGCTAAAAACCGAGTCAGGCACTGTAAGAAGACAAATAGAACAAATCCAGTTTTTTTGTTTCTCTGACTGTTTGTCTGTTTGTACGGGCTAATCTCCGAATCTATTGGACCAATTTAAATAAAATATTGCATGGTGGTACCTTATATCTCCGGGCAACATCTTAGATACTTTTTATCCCGGAGAATTAAATAGTTCCCGTAGGATAGTTAAAAAACTATAATAACTTATACAACTTAGTACACAACAACTTATGCACCTAATTTAGTAAAATTTAACATTCTGAAACCTTATATTGCCGGTCAAACAACAGGTTACTTTTCATCCCGGAGAAATAAACAGTTCCCGTGGGAACTAATAGATCTCTATTAATTTTTTCCTAGAGGCGAACCCGAGCGATGCGAGGGTGAGCCGCTAGTCTATAATATTTGAATAATTTATATGAAAAGTCACGGCAGTTTTATTTAAATCTGGGAATTAATATCTACGTTATATATTCTTTACTAGCATTGCCCGTGGCTCCACCTGCGTTCATATCCAAAAACCAAATTTTTAGGTTTTACATATTAGTATATTCTAACATTGCTGTTTTTGTATTTTTTCTCAGAAATTAGATATTTTCTCGCGGTAAAAAGTATCCTATATGTTGACCCGGATAACCAGTTATGAGCATACCAAATTTCATCAAAACTCCTCCAGTGGTATTTCTGTGATGCGGTAACAGACAGACAGACAAAAATTCTAAAAACTATAGATTCGGCCTCTGTATCGATAATAATGTTTATTTCAATGAGGTTTTCCAAAAAATATTTAATTTACAAATTCGGCTTAGTTACTATTTTATTATATGTATAGATGTATTCTTTAAAAAAATTCTAGGAAATCTATTGTTAACTGACACGCCGGCGTGTCCGCGGTCGTGGAGGGATTAATGCACTTAAAATATGATGGAGAAAAAAACAACAATAAACATAGTTCACAAAGGTGGACTTATCTTTAAAAGAGATCTATATACGATACGTTAGTACCTTAGTAAATAATATGCTTAATATTAACAATAAAATAACAATAACAATTTTTTTTAGATACACAGCTCGGAACTTTCCAGAAGCAAACGAGTAAAAATAACGATGAATATTTGTGGATGATGTGAGTACCTACTCAATTATATGAGAATTTTTCCTCTAGATTTCTATTTATAATAATTATATATATTATATTTAAAATATATATTTAATTCAATGTGTTTTTGAATGTTTTGGCCGGAAATTATGTAAACAGACTATTATCTGAACTAACACAAAAGCCATTGTTAAGGGACGCTCCCCAGCAAGGCGACGGTAATTCGCTAGTATATACTTATATAAACGATTGTTAAGCATATAACAGTAAACAGTACTTGCCTTTGCACTATACACCCTTAGATATAGTGGGTCCGTTTTACCATCAGAGTAATAAATATATGGCCTTACCACTATTTATTGCGGTGGCGTAGTAGTCGTATGTTTATTGTTTACAATGTGTTCGTAATTTTATTGAGCTTAGGAAAATTATTTAGTGCGTATTTTTCAACTTACAGTTAATTAAATTAAGATAATTGTTTATCTTTTTAAACTTAAAACTGTTCTGACCTTGGATGACCAAAAGACTTTTAAAGTAAATGCTCAAAATGCATACGTGCTCAAAGACACTCACCCTACGGCTGCTGTAGAAAAATAATCACTCTATATAACAATATAAGTCTGAAAATATAAATAAATATGTTGTCACATTTACACACTAGTTCCATCTAGTTCCATGGTAAGGCTACGAGGCTTGTGTTATGGATACCAGACAGTTGATACACTATACATATATAAACTTTAAATACATATGTATTATAAATATAAACACCCATGACTGAGTACAAACATTCGTGCTCAACACACAAATGAATGCCCCCGGCGGGACTCGAACCCGCGACCGCTGGTACAGCAAGTAGAGTTACTACACACAGAGCCATACGTGTCGTCAAATATGCATTAAATGTATAACAGACTAGTCATTGAATTGTTTTGTTGTTAGCTATTATTGTTACTTTATTCATGTCAAACAACAAATATATAATTCCACTAGACAAAGGTTAATTATTGCGTCGTTGCTTAAGTACAAAGTACAATATCAAGTCATGGTCATCTAGTACAGATATTTTTACTTGTTACACCGTACTACATTTCATTATTAAAGATTATACCAATAATATTGATTATTTGTTTATATATTTTGTTTGAGTTCATATATGTACATGATGAGGAGTTATTTATCACCACATTTAGTTTAAAATACACCGAAAAATCTGTAGTTTAAATATATGTATATATTTTTGCCATACAAGTCTTTCCTTGCCGAAGTGAATTAGAGTATGATTGTTGCCAAACAGTAAATGTATCATGGTAGTATTGAGAACAAACGTTAGGACACAGATCATATAATACTTTACTCGTAGTTAAGTAACGTGTCAAATGTTGCAATTGAAAATGATTCGTTATAAATTTTACCATCACTACACTTGTTGACACAAATCTCAGTAGGATTATATGTTATTTTCCAACAATAAGATCTCCATAACAACAAAACTTACATAGAACATACAGTGTAGTTTTAACGTCACGTCAAGCATCACGTGAGCAAAGCTAAGATTATGATAATAAAATATTAATAATCTAATAAATGAGTACTTAGAAACTTATGGGTACTTGTTAACTTTGAAGTGTGACCGATTTACAGGTAAAGGTTACCAAATGTACGTATGTAAGGTTTAAACATATTTTACCGAATATATTCAAAAACATATATTCATATTGCATTATTTGTAAGATGTCGTGTGGAATGACCGAAATACCTAGATCGAATAATATAATACATTATAAAATATTTTTATCTATATGTTAAATTAATACTACATAAAATAAGGAAAATCCGGATATTCTCGCTTTAACACCCTTGACATTTTCAGTATATACGTAAATAAAAATAAAATATAATGGACATATTTAATTGATTAAGGATAAAATTAATTTTGATGAAGGAATTCAAGTTTTAAAAATTGAAATTGAAAGGATAATGATTCGTTGTTAAATTAATTTTCATTTGCTTCTAGAGTTTTACAATGTAAATATTTAGAAAGCTTGTAAACGTATAATATGTATGTTATATATAATGTTATTGTTATTTATTTATATTTTTTCGTAACGTACGAATGTTTGTGTTTAATCTGTTTAAATACGCCGTATCTCAAATGTGGCTCAAGGAATAATTTTAAAGCGGTCGATTGCAAAAGACGAGTTTATTAGCAATAATGGTAGAGCAAGAAGGTCAACCACTAGTGACGGAGGTTGCGCCGGTGTTGCAGTTGTTATCTCACGTGCAAGGCACAGAATATGTAGGAAAGAACGAGACAGAGATACAAGTGGTTGGCCCTCGCCGCGCTAATGTCGAAACCTTCGGTTGCATGCGCCCGCGCAGAGCCGTTCGCCACCAAGCAGTACTAAGTTAGACTACACTTGAATAAACTATGTTATTGTGCTAGCGGAAAGTGACAGTGATATTGGGATTTGCACGTGCTATGTATAGTGACCTTTGAATCAACATCCTCAAACTTGCTACGGTTAGCATTTTTTTTAATTATCAATAAGTTAGCGCGACACTCTATATGCCTTTGGTATTTGTAATACGTATCGTATTGCGAAAGTTTGAATGTACAAATAGTAAATATTAGAAATACAATTTGAGTGAATTAAATCAAAAATACTTCTAAGTCTAATGTGGGTGCTAAAGTGTTTTATAAATACGTAGCATAAGGATAAATACAACTAATATTTACTCATCGTTATATTATTATCATTAGTAAATACAAATAATGATAACTTTAAAGATTATTATAAAATGTGATTAAGATACTCAATATAGGTACTATTGAGAATAATAATATATTGTGATATAACACTTTTTTAGATTTACGCGAATTTTTGAAATTTTAATAAAACTATCTTTTCGGATGTTTTCGCAGATTTATTTTTATTTTTGGTTCCCTACGTTTCGAATGCTTTACAGTTTACAGCAATCATGGTCACGGGTGAGATTAAGACATCTCAAAGTTATTATATAGTTGTTACAGACAATGCCTAGTAGGCACTGTGTAGGCACTGTTTTACCTACACAAAAAGATATCAAATATAGTGAGATCTTTGGTGCCATTTTTGTATTTTTAAAATCATTTAATATATTTGTGGGTAGATAGTTTCTGTTTCCGTGATCATGATTGCTATAAAGCATTCGAAACATCGGGAACCAAAAAAATAATAACCAAAATAAGAATAAATCCGCGAAAAAATCCAAAAAGATTCATGAAATATTTATTTTAATATTCAAGGCAAAGTAAGATTTAGAGTTCCGGAGTATGTTCTAGTTATTGTTTAGCTCTTGAAACCTATCATTATTTGAGACTTACGTAAGCTCTAAAATCACAGTAAATGACAATAAAAGTAAAAGTGCCACGTACAGATATGTAAGTAGTTTTTTAAGTGCTTTATGAATCCTTTAAATTGTTAAACTTTGATTATCTATTATAGGCATATACTTATTATGTCTATATAAGATAAAAGAGATAAATATTAGTTTTAGTTATCTCTAAGCGATGACTCAATATACTATTGAAATAAATGCTATAAAACTGAGCAAATATACTCATAACAATAGCTATATCAATCAATAAAGTACTACAATACTATTTAAACTTTTCACAATAAGAAAGTTGCTAGTATTGTCAGTCACGAGACTACACTTTGAAATATTATGCCATCAATATTGTTTTAGCGAGAATAGATAGTTTATTTACACTTATTTCTATATATCTAAGTTCAAAAGTAGGTATTTTGGGTCGTCAACTTAAAATAATGACTTCTTTAATAAATCTATAGATATACTCTTATACTTGTCTGTAATTTCGAAAAAAACTACACAATATTGAGCTAATATGATTATTTACACAATACTAAAATGCTGTAGCAGTAGCAGCCCTTTGGTAATGTGTTTATTTGGAAAATATAATGCTCATTCAAAACACCGGTATAAAAACTCTGACATTTAAAGATATGAATTTTACTTTCAAAATAATTACGTCTTGTTTAATATAACGGAAAAAAATTCATAAGAAAACCTGCACGTCAGAAGTAATTAATTTTCGGAAGTCGAGTAAAGTTTGAACCCGCATAAGGCTAACATGGAGAGGACTCCGACCTAATCCTTCTCGTATTGAGGCCCGTTGCGAGCAGTGGAAGGTTAAATGGTGAAGCTATTATACAGTTAAAACAATTATTACATGAGATTAAACTTAAAACAATTATAGACTTAAGTCTATCTATCCATTTCCCCTTTTCTACCCACTATTTATTTGCGCTCAGTTTAAGCTCTCTTACCCGATTTCACCAACGTCACCTAAGTTTAAGGGATCCCCTAAGCATGATTAGAGGGCTGTTAGGGGACAGTTTCTGTTTCACCGACAGTTAGGGGTCACCTAAATATTAAAAGGCCCCCTAAATTTAGGTGCTCGAAATATGGGCTTAAAGACGATCGTAATACGAAATTTAATTTAGGGGCTAGTTTAGGGGACTTTTAAGCCTTAAGGGATCTCCGAATGTTACTGGGCTTTCATTGACGTTTAGAGGAAAGGTAACACAACATGTTATTCATTTGTCTCATTTTAAAATACGAGGCGTAATCAAGTATGAAGTAAAATAGTTTAATTACATATTGTCTAAATTTATTTGTCTAAAAACATACACCTAAGGCTTAACTTTAAAAATTTTCCACCCTTAGGGGTTATTATTGAAAATTGAAATGTATGTATTATACCATATATATAAAACAAAAAAAGGGTTGATGAAAGTTGACTTACATTTGACTAAAATATCGTGTTAAATATACACGAAAAAAACATCCGAATTAAGTACCTCCTTCTTATCAAGTCAGTCAAAAACCTTGTAATCGCATAAAATTGTTTATATAAAATAATATCTATGGGTATCAGTTTATTGTTAAGATACGCGAGGGTCATGTTTAGTTTCTTTATATATTGTTTTTATATATTTTACATAGTTAACAAAAAAATATGAGATTTTTTGACATTATTTCGTTACTAGTATATATTAGTATGATAATATCAGAATGAGCAAATCTTAATCCCAATCTAATTTTAACATTATGTTGTATGTTTATGTAACATAAACTTGTATTTTTATTTTTAACTGTCATAATAAATTCTTTGTATACTTAATCCGTGAGAAATTTAATTATTCTGAGACTAATGAGTAATGCCTAGTCTTTGTTCTACGTGCAACTTGCACATTTTATATAATACAGTGAGTGCAGGATAATATAATGCAACAGTGGTAAATGAAAACTATAACTTAATTCACTTTAAATTACAAAAAATGAGTTAATACATTCTGAACCAGCGGTTTACCCTCGCGTCGCTCGGGTTTGCCTGTAGCAAAGCACAAATAGATCTATTCCACGGGAACCGTTCCTTTTTCCAGGATAAAAAGTAATCTGTTGTTTGACCGGAAATATACGGTATCAGCATGCCAAATTTTACTAAATTAGGTGCATAAGTTGTTGTGTACTAATTTACCGTATAAGTTAGTATAGTATTTCGACTATCCTATGGGAAATCTTTAAATTTCCGGGATGAAAAGTGTCCTAAATGTTGACCGGGGATATAAGGTACGACCATGCAAAATTTCATTTAAATCGGTTAAACAGTTTCAGAGATTAGTTCGTACAAACAGACAAACAGACAGAGAAACAAAAAATTTGAAACAAAAACCTGGATTTCTTCTATTTCTCTTGTTGTTGGGATGTAATGTGATGTAATGTGGGATGTAACCATCCCCTGACTCGGTTTTTAGCATTTTTTTCTATGTACAGACATTCGACCTCTACAGTTTTAGTATATGTATAGATATGGATTTCGTATTTATGTATGGATATTGGATACACATAACGCGATACTCATTTCACTTTATTCATGTAAATGTGCATTATTTTTAATGTATAATTATTTTCGAATACAAACTTCCTTTATTTAGTTCACTTTGTACCTTGTAACTTAAAACCAAGGCAAATAAAACATAATAATAATAAAAACCAGGCAGTTCCGCAGTTTCGGCTGGCAATTTTTTTTTAATTTGACAGTTCCCGAAACTAACCTTTTCTGTCTCATATACGATAATTTTTAAAACGTCATCATATAGTACATATGTATTTTGACAAAGTTTTTTATGCTTAAGTTAAATTGGCCACTAAAATATAATTTTTCATACACACTTTGTTACCCCTTTTCGTTCCTTGATAATAGCTATCATGCCACTCTTTGACCGTAATCATTGACCGAAACAGACAAAAAGACTAAAACTATATTTATCAATATGTACGCGAAATAAATGAAACCGGTACGTCTATTGCATTGTGGTATGGAACCAGTTCATCTAGATTGGTTTAGTAAAAAAAAGAGGGAACCAAAAATCAAAATAAATCCGCGAAATAATCCGAAAAGATAGTTTTATTTAAAATATAAAACACATAATTAAATTTTAAATTGATTTGAGGATTTTATTTTTTCATATATCTTATTTAATGAAATCATTTCTTGTGCAGTATGTAAGAGTTCGACTAAAATGGGTCTAGCACAGATTACTTCTAATAGACGATATATAACACTTGTTACAGAATTCGAAACCAACAGCTTTATTAGTCACTGGTATGAGCGAAAATGTACTTAAAATATATTCAAGCGTAAAATCATTAATATACATATACGCAACCGCATGGCTTCTCGAAAATACGATTACACTAGGGCTGCCAATATAAAAATATAATAAATATACGCGTATAAATATACGCCAATAAAAATATTATAGTACAATATTTAGCTAACTAAAAAAAGATATATTTTACAATGCTATTCACAAAGTACATCAGCTTGAAATAGACATGTGCGCGTTAAATGGATATCGGCAACCCTATGAGCTTAGGGGCCGTAACAGCCTACCGTCCTGCGGGTAATTAGCACATAGAACGCGATAGACCTATACCCAATGGTGGCATATGGGGTTTTTCATTATACATATTATGCTGTTTTCAGTTTCGTTAAAGCGAGGATACTGGGATAGTAAATAATTTTACAGTATATTTAGCCATCGATTTCGCCATATTTTTTTACTTGAAAGGGTCGAACTAAATAGATACCTAAAGATATAGGTCTTTCAATTATCTTATATTATCTAATTTAGATACATTTTTGTTAAGTTGTTAATTGTTGTTAATAACTATTGATTTTAAAGTTAATTGTTGTTAAGAACTATAAGTTGTCCGTTTCCTCGTCAAGTCTACGTTAGTTTAAAGCAACGTGAAAAAGTGATTAAGGTAGAGATTTTAACACTCTCAACCTTTGTAACGTAATTACAGAACGTTTAGAAGAGTAATTTCTTATATTATTATTCAGAATTAAATACGCTATGCCTCCTGTTTATTTTAATTATAGATAATTGAGGGAGGTATACATATTATTAAATATAAGATCCGTTTATTATTTACATGTAAAAGGAATATTTCCTTTGTAAAAGAAAAGTTAATTATTTAGAAATTGTTATTTTTGCCTCACAACAAGTTCTATGAAATTGTGAACAGTATAAATTCAAGATATTTATCATTGTCTGAGATACTGATAGTTCATTACCTAATAAATTCCAATGAAAGGTAGCTAGATGTTTACCGCGTTTTCTTTTAACATTTTCTTTTCAGATGTTATTTTACAGTACAAATGTAAACCTTTTAAGTAAACCTTCATTTGAGCCAGAATTTTGAAATTAATATAACATAATTTTCAACTGGATGACTAACAGAGTCAGACTAAAACATCATGAATATTTTTTTTTAAATGACCAATAAAAACACCACATAAGCAAAAAGTATTACTTGAACAATTCATGCTTCAATTAATAATTATTATCTACTAGCATTTAGTTGACCAAAAACCCAATTCTTAGATTTTACATATTAATATACTCTTACATTGCAGTTTTTGTATTTTTTCTCAGAAATTAGATATTTTCCCACTGTAAAAAGTATCCTATATGTTGACCCAGATAAGCAACTGTTACCATACAAAAATTTCATCAAAATCCCTCCAGTGGTTTTGCGTGATGCGATAACAGACAGACAGACAGACAGACAAAAATTCTAAAAACTATAGATTCGGCCTTTGTATCGATAATAATGTCTATTTCAATAAGATTTTCAAAAAAATATTCAATGTACAGATTTGACTTAGTTAGAATTTTATTATATGTATAGACTATAGATGTTTTATAGCCTAAATTTTTTTATCTATTTCAGATGGCGTTCGTAATCTCACGTACATTGTCAGCAAATATGCATCTAAGGCATATAACTTGGTGTTAGTTTGTAGTCAACATGAACTTTTGGGTCACATTGGAGAAGAAAACAGTTGTATGATGGAGCATGTGGCCTTCCTGCCCACCTGGTTCCTAGTCGCCTGGCTAGGGACCTGCATTCTGTTCAGTCCATTTGCAATTTTCTTCGTATTATGCCTTCCCCAAATTCCTCTTCTAGTCCTAAGGAGGCTCTGCTATATACCATTCGAGTATATTTGACCAAGCCTTAAAATAGATTATTAATTATAGTTTGTAAATAATGTATAATATTGAATGATGTATAAAATTAATGATAACGATTAAATATTTATTTAAGCGACATACCTCGTATTTATTGATTGACTTCAAATAAAAACTTTTTAACAAAAAAATAAAAACCGACTTCAAACAAAAGCACTAAAAAGTAAAAAATAACTGATTGGTAGTTTTCATTTACTATACATACCTAATCAAATATTTTCGAAGTCGGTGTGCTTAGCTTTGTATGGGCTGGCACCGATTTCGAATATATTTGATTAGGTATGTATTTAATAGGTAGGCTTTAATTACTTAGCCAAAGCACACCGACTTCGAAAATATTTGATTAGGTATGTATAGTAAATGAAAACTACCAATCAGTTATTTTTTTACTTTTTAGTGCTTTTGTTTGAAGTCGGTTTTTATTTTTTTGTTAAAAAGTTTTTATTTTTACCTTTTTAGTGTAGACAGTAGTAGCAAAGTTAGGATTCTAACGTGTTAGGCTTGTCAAATCAAACAAAATAAGCCCAAACTCAAAGTATCTACTATTAGTCGTTGAAGAGTTCCACCTATCCACCTTCTGGCCTTGCCATCAGATCAGGTCAACAACACCGAACCACTGTACTATCAACGGAAATAGAAATACTTGCAAAGTTTCAAGTCAATATGACAATTAGAAGTAGGTTAAATTCATCATTAGTTGTTTTTCCACCCTTAGGGGTGGTATTTTTTTGTGAAATTTAAATGGGACCAATCTGGAAGTATACCCTTTCAAACAAAACAAAAATTGTCCAAATCGGTTAATAAATGACGGAGTTCTGAGGTAACAAACATAAAAAAAAAAAAAAAAAATAAATAAACATACAGTCGAATTGAGAACCTCCTCCTTTTTGAAGTCGGTTGAAAATGGTATTAAATTATGTTTTTTATCGGATATCTTCTTCAATTATGAATTGATTTACACGATTTTTTCGTTAATGAATACTTCAAGTATGGTCCTATATTAATTTTAATAAATTATTTTTTTGTTTTAACGATTTTCAATTCAATAAAACTGATAGCAGCTGTTTTACGTCATGCTTGATGATATAGTACAAAATATCAAAGTTGGTACCCAAAAAAAGAGTTTTCAAAAGACATGTGAAGTCCGCCAACCCGCACTCAGTCAGCGTGGTGGGCTATGGCCTGATCCCCCACGTACTGAAGGAAGGCCCGTGCCCAGCAGTGGGACATTGAAAAGGGCTAAATACACCAAAATATTAGAACAACATTAAATTATATACTATAAATTGTATATTATGTAGATAACTAAAAATCAGATATCTAAACTATTTTTTATCCTATCCTAAATATTTTACTATATATAAATGTTTTTTAAAGATTACAAGAGATTCAATCCGTTACATTCTATGGTATCAGAATTCATATTATATTATAATAACTATGCAAGTAAGTAATTAACATAATATGCTTATTATATAATACCAAAGTCATAATATTAATTGAAACGTTTTATTAAGTATCGGAATATATTATAAACTTTATTTGCCATTATATATATCAGTTGACCTCCACTGTCTATCCTGACCTAAAAGAACTTTGAAACTTAGATTGCAAGGTCTCACTCAAGAGTCATCTATGTGTATAAAGGCTATATACCACTTACTGATTACCACATAAAAACTACTAAAGCTTGTATCAAATCTGATGATATTTAGTGAATGATGACTCTGAAAGCATATTTTTTAAAATTTAAATTCAAAAAGTGGGAGGGTCTGAGTGAAATAGAATATGAAAGTGACCGGGAATTCAATCACTTTCGAAGTAAGAAAAACATGGCTTAATATTTGGTCACCATGTCTTTTAATAAAGACACTGAAAATAGCTGTAAATAATACTTACGAGTAGACAGAAATATTTTTTCCGTTGATTATTTTTCAATTAACGTGGTCATGTAAAAGCCTGTCTCGTGCAGAATCACGTTTCATACAATATGAGAATATTATCTTTTACGTTAGATAAGTTATTTTTTATAAAATGTATTTTATATAACCACTAACATTGCCCGCGGCTCCGCCCGCGTTCAGGTGACCAAAAACCAAATTCTTAGGTTTTACATATTAGTATAGGCACTCTTAAATTGCAGTTTTTGTATTTTTTCTCAGAAATTAAACATTTTTCCACGGTAAAAAGTATCCTATATGTTGACCCGGATAACCAGCTATTACCATACCAAGTTTCGTCACAATCCCTCCAGTGGTTTTTCTGTGATGCGGTAACAGACAGACAGACAGACAGACAAAAATTCTAAAAACTATAGATTCGGCATGTGTATCGATAATAATGTTTATTTCAATAAGATTTTCCAAAAAATATTTAGTATACAGATCGGCTTAGTTACAATTTTATTATATGTATAGATTTAAGATATACGAAATTAATTTATGTAGCTTAGATATAGACACAGTCGAACACAGTTTACAGTAGCTATTGGTCTTGCCTAATATAGGAAAATAGTTATATAGTTTTCTAAGATCTAGCTCATAGCTATTAATTATGAGCATCCAAAAAATTAGGTCACGTAATCCATACTAATATTATAAATGTGAAAGTGTGTTTGTTTGTTTGTCCTTCGTTCACGTCGAAACGGAGAAACGGATTGGCATGATTTTTTGTGTAGAGATAGTTGGAGGGCTGGAGACTGACATAGGCTACTTTTTACTGCGGGAGATTACATAATTCCCACGGGAAAACACATTATATTACAATCTAAAAAAAAACAGAATTACTTGAAACTTGGTATACTTTTCAACAAAATTAAATAAATACGTGTCTTAGCATTTTTCAAAATTCATCCTATAAGGGGGTAAAATAGGGGATGAAAGTTTATATGAAACTTATGAAACTACCTTTTTAGAGATTTTTTTGTAGTTTTAGCGCGAGCGTAGCCGCGAGTTCTGCCAGTAATAATATAATAATAACCCTGACCGATTTCAGCCACGGCGCCCAATTTCACTGAGACTAGCCATCTGCGCATGAAATATTATATTGCACAAGTGCACTTTTTTTTATATAATTCATACAAACTCCAATGGAATTATAATTCGACCCGACCGGTGGGAGCTCAGGCGCAGCATTCTCTCTGTCTCTCTAAGATACGGGAATGAAACACCAACTTCCTAACTTCAGACCGGTTACTGAGAATTTCTTATAAGAAAAACTTAATAACAAAACTGAGCTCCTTATCTGTTACTATCATGTACAAATACCAAACGTACATTAATATGTTGGGACAATATGTTGTTGTTGTTGGGACATTAACACACAACACCTTCTAGTTCCATGGTAAGCTACGAGGCTTGTGTTATGGATACCAGATAGTTGATACACTACACATATAGCTTTAAATACATGCATATTATAAATATAAACACCCATGACTGAAGTACAAACATTCATGCTCATCACACAAATGAATGCCCCCAGCGGGACTCGAACCCGCGACCGCTGGCACAGAAAGTAGGGTCACTACAAACTGAGCCAAACGTGTCGTCAAATCTGTGGCTGTACATTCTAGCCACTAGTCCACCGAGGCAGTTCACGTAAACAGACTCAGTACCTACCTAAATGACAAGAAGTATACGGGATAATTTTATAAAAGTAAAGTTATACTTATCAAAAATGTAAAAATTTAGTCATAGTGTGGATTATGATAAAAACTAAAAATCCTTTATTACTTTTTTGAAAAATTTTCCTAGTCTGAAATCGGAATTCGCACATTCGCTGTTTGTAAAAAATACTTTTCATATATTTACATAAGAGACCACCTGTACATATATGTAATTAATCATGGTAAACTTAACTGGCCTTTAATTTTTGAACTTTTCTTGACCTTTTTTGATAGTGAGCAGAGTCGATAAACTGCATAACTACCGAACCGATGCTAATAGCTAATAATGAGCTAGCATCTCTCAGGCTAAGGTTGAGGAGAACAGAGTCCAACTTGTGTCTGAAATCGAGACTTCCCTAGAGCAGATCTCCGTTTGGGGCCGACGAAATCTCGTCCAGTTTAACCCCTCAAAGACACAAGTTTGTGCGTTCTCCACGAAAAAAACCCCATTCACTATAGCGCCAAAGTTCCAGAACACTTCTCTTAACATCTGTAAGAGTATCGGGATCCTAGGGGTCGAAATATCGAGCGACGTCCAATTTAGATGTCATCTGGAAGAAAAAGCCAAATTGGCTTCCAAAAAAATGGGTGTCCTTAACAGAGCAAAACAGCATTTCACGTCAGGGCATCGACTTTTGCTTTATAAAGCACAGGTTCGCCCTCTCATGGAGTACTGTTCTCATCTCTGGGCCGGCGCCCCCAAATACCAGCTTCTTCCATTTGACTCTATCCAACGCCGGGCAGTTCATATTATCAACGATCCCGTACTCACAGACGATTTAGACACTCTAAGCCTTCGGAGAGATGTTGGCTCTCTGTGTGTTTTCTATCGTCTATACAATGGAGAGTGTTCTGATGAACTTTTTGACATGGTGCCACCGTCGCGCTTCTATCATCGCACCCTTCGCCGTCGAGTAGGATGTCATCCACACATTTTAGATGCTTGGCATTCTACAAATGTACGTGCGTCTCGATCATTTTTACCCCGCACGTGCAAGATATGGAATGATCTTCCTCCCGAGGTATTCCCTGAGCGCTATAATA